GAATGAGGGTAGTTAGCTATAACTCAAAAAGAAAAGCTGTTACAGAAAAATTATTGCCATATTTAAAAAATATTCGCCAAAAAAAATACAGGAAACAAACAATTTTTTTTCTTTTGTTGGCCAGTGTTATCAGTCCAGCAAGACTCGTTTCTTAGAAACTGAAGTCCATTCAAGTTGCAATCGTTTATCAATGGCAAGAAGTTTACTGCGTTATCATTCGCCGAACTGTCTCGAAAGAAATAAAAATAAAAACTGAAATACTATGTCAACTAGCACATAAAATTGTTGAAAAAATATTTATAGATTACAGTCAGGTACCTATCAAAGTCCGTCCATTTTTATTTAAGATGCATACTCAATAATTATTTTTTTTTTGATATTGGAAAGAGGATGTTGATATAATTTAGGATTAACCGAGTATAAGAACGAGTCTTAAATTTTGACTTTTTAATGTAAATGCTTCGCAAAAAAAAGTATGACAAAAGGTGAAATGTATGCGAAATATTAAGTGCGACTGACTGGCTTGCATGAGTGCGACTTTTAAAAAAAATTACTCGCTTTTAATGGCCCTTGAGTTATACTAAAAATAAAAATGCTTAAATACTCATTATTTTCCGTAAAAAGTAACTTCTTGTGTAACTCGTTATTTATTTCGTTAACTATATTCATAAATAGGTATGTGCTTGATTTATATTCACTAATTTTAGTTTTAGCGTTAAATTAATGCCTATTTTCTTAATCGTGCAATACTGTTGTTAGGTGGTTGATTTTTGGGGTGTTCATAGTTTTGTTGATATTAATATGATATTGTTAAATTACTAAGTCTTTGGAATATTTATAGTTTGGCTGGAGAAAAGTGCAATGATCTGTCCCTTCTTTAACGAAAGGCAGCAGAGCTAAAGAAGAGTACAAGTAAAAAGAAAATTTAATGCCGTATAAATCAAGCACATTTTTTTCTACCTATCTATTAAACATTGGTTTGCAAACTGTCTGTTACTATTTGTATAACGTGTAATTTTGACGTTGTTGGGGGTTTTTTCTTTAATCTATTGTCTTAATTCTGCTGGGAGTAATCAAATTTTTATAAACATTTCGCGCTATCACTTAATCAACATTCAAAGAACTCGAATTTTGTAACAGATCAAATGAAATAACAAAAGATATTACTGAAAACGGCTTATTGTTGTCAATAACGTCTGTTTTTCACTATCTGGCAGTATAAAACATTATACCAATGAACAATTAAGATTGAAATGTGTTAAAATCAAAATCAAATTGGGGACGAAAAATTATTTAATATTTAATTTCCGCATTTAATGTATCACATTTCGTCAGGGTGGGTCGATTGTTGTTAATTATCATTTGTATGTTGAAATTTTAATGAAGAAATGGTACATATTAAAGGTGTTTTTAGTACAAAATCTTATCCAATAGTTTCAGCATATACCATGAGGAATATTGATACATTAAAAGCGAAACGTAGATGTTGTCTATGGTATTAAATTATTTTTTGTTTCCGATTTGCTTGCCTTGCATTTTTGTGTAGATACCTACTACATTTAAAAAAAGTTAATCTCATTTAATGTTGCTCTCACTGTAATAGTAAAGTTACTGATACATCTAACCTATTATGTTGAATTTTATTATCCCTGCAGAAAAGTTTGTTGCCACTTTCAAATTTATGCTATTTTCTTATTATTTATTGTTAACAGTTAGTTAAAGTCATGCCAATTATCTACTTATTGTAGTTGTTATTTGATAGAACGATAAGGACATTAAGTCTCATTTGTAACGTTTTCGTTGCTCGAGTCTATAAATTAAGCATCTGGCTAATACGTGACTGTAATCGCAGGATAATCTCCTGCCACCAGATCCTAACTTCGTTAATTACAATAAAACGGTAACAGTAAAATTGAAATTTAAAAAAGAATTGAAGATAGTGTTTTTAACCATTCCATCGGTAATTTTTTTATTTGTTGTAAAGGCAATAACAGTAATATTTTGCTTTGATAATTCAATTTTTCGGAATGCTCTGGTGTGAGCATGCATCTCTTTTCGTCATCATTGTAGCTATTATGAATAAATTATAACCACATTTTTTCGGTACCTAATCGGCAGTTCCAAAACAAAATTGAAAAAATGTGAATTAAATTTTGTTTTTAATATTGTATGTACTTATTTTTTAACAATTTAAAACTTCTTTAGTAGCTTTGTTTTTTTTTTCACTTTTCTAGTATTTTTTTTTTTATTTATTTGACGTATTTGTATTATGTTTAAGCAAATTAAAAAATGTTGGCAATCTGACTGCTACGTTCGTTTTTTTTTGTGCGTTTTATTTTAATGACCTAGGCCCTGAAACATTTCTGTTTTTTGTTTAATGTTTTTTTAACTGGTGGAACATTGTAAATAATGTCATTTACATTGTGTATATTATGATCGTCTTTATATTAAGTGTGTTCCCGAATGACTGGTTGAATGGTGTATGCGTGTATGTATGTATTGTACAAATGGATGTGAAAATGAATGCAAACAGAAACATACAAATAAACATATAATACACACACGCGTGTCGCGGTGCCGTGGTACTCTCGAGGCCGAATTAAAGTGTTTAGATAACCGCTATTATTATGATTATTATTACTACTACTGCTACTACTACTACATACTATTACAATAATGATTAATGACTGTAATGAAATGATTAGAACAGAGAGATGGTCATATTCAACAGTGTCATAAGTATAGTTGCTACATAGTTCCCGCTTTGATGCCATGTGTCTTATTTCTATGTAACCTATTAATTGATAATTATACATGTAATGTACAGATTGAACTGAATAAAATGTTAATTTCGAAACCAGTTTAATATAAACAAAAAATTTAACATGCCCTTACCCCGTTTGACAATAAGTTTATTATC